CTTTAGTACCATAAATACACAAAAAATACGGAAGCACAGTCATACTTTTTTTTCGAAGACTTTTCAGTGTTACGTTTGATATGAAAAACATATCAAATTAATACGAGTTTATATTAAAACAAGGAAGAACGCTATAGTCGAGTACCTCGACTATCAGATACCCGTTAATCAGCTAAAGTGACCAAAGGGAAATGGAGATATGCAAGCAGCAAAGCGGAATTAAAATGCGCCACCTACCGGCGGTAGACAGATTTAAGCGTTATGGGCGTTAGAGTGGGCGTGGCAAATTTTTTTTAGATCAATCGATAGGTTTTGACGAGACCAATACATTTCAGTTAAAATTTTTATTCAAGCATTAAAACTGTAGGAGCCACCGTTTTAGGCGGTTTGTGGGCGTGGCACTTTGCTGAAACAAACTTGCGCTGTGTAAGAAGCTCAGGAATCTGCACGCCAAATCTTAATAGCCTAGCTCTTATAGTTTCCGAGATCTCAGCGTTCATCCGGACGGACAGACAAACGGACAGACGGACATGGCTAGATCGACTCGGCTAGTGATCCTGATCAAGAACATATATACTTTATGGGGTCGGAAACGCTTCCTTCTGCCTGTTACATACTTTTCGACGAATCTAGTATACCCTTTTACTCTACGAGTAACGGGAATAATGATGCAAAATCATATCAAATAGAAATGTTGATATGAATCCGTATCATGTTGATATGAATTCGTATCAATTTGATATGTAAAAGGTGATATGTGAAAATTGAGGAGACAATATCAAACGGGTATTGTTCCGTTTTTATACCCGTTACTCGTAGAGTAAAAGGGTATACTAGATTCGTCGGAAAGTAAGTAACAGGCAGAAGGAAGCGTTTCCGACCCTATAAAGTATATATATTCTTGATCAGAATCACTAGCCGAGTCGATCTAGCCATTTCCGTCTGTCCGGATGAACGCTGAGATCTCGGAAACTATAAGAGCTAGGCTATTGATATTTGAAGTGCAGATTCCGGGACAGAGCAAGGGACAGGTATTGCCTCGAAAGGCGTTGGCCTGGAGAGCAAGGCTTGTTCACCCTAGTCTGAGAACGGTGACGCTTCCCTAAGCCCGCAAGGCCGAACTCTCTGCAAGTCCAAGGCGCGACAAGCGACCCCGAGGCCACTACGAGCATCCCGAGACACAGGAGCCAGCGGTCGTCAAGTCAACGCGTCGACAGGCCAGGACGAGGAACATCAGCAGCCTACGGAACCAAGCGAGGCCAGCCCAGCCACACACCCGATGTTTTAATAACACGAGAATAAAACCCACTGTTACCATTCGAACCCTGTGTTTTCTCACTGATCTACGGGGCAGTCGCACGATTCTCGTAGCGAGCAAACCAAGCAAAATCAGTTCTTTACAATATGAATACTTGGAGAAATTAATTAACCCGATTAAATAAATGGGATATCATGCATATTCCCTTAATGATGGTGTACTGGACCCCAGTGAAGCCAGAAATAATTTCATAATGATATTTGATGACTCAGCTTGTGGAAAACAAGATAACATAAGATCTTAATTTTGTGTGGGTCGACATAAAAATATCGACTCTTTTTATTTATGTCAAACTAATACCCATATACCGAAATATTTAATTCGTAACAATGCAAACTTTATCATAATGTTTAAACAAGATAATTTAAATATGGGACATATATATCGGGATTCTATTAACCCTTATATGAGTTATAAAACATTTGTAAAAAATTGTCAAAAATGTTCGGAGGCTAAGCACGGATTCTAATTAATTACCAAGGACAACGAAATGGATAACGGACGGGTCAGGAAAGGATTTGATCAATTTATTATGATTTATAAGAAGTGAGACCAATATAAAGCTGGGTTATACACTTGTATTCTCACATTTATTCTGCATTGTCTTACGTGTCCACGATTGGCGGCGCAATGCTACATTTGCGGTGGCCGTCCATATCTTTTATACAAACGCAACTTTAATTGAACAACATTTGCTTATAAAGTAATTGTGAAAACCTTTTAGTAGGCCAAATTTAAAGAGACACATGAATTGCATAGTGGAGTTTTCCAGTTAAAATTGTTTACTTTTTTAACGTTGATATGTATCATGAGCGTTAAGCAACAGAATCTTGATCACTGATTACTGATGAATGACTTATCATTTATAATGTTGTTGTGCTGAACGCGGCCATTATCTTTAAATGGAAATTGTTCCATTATAAAGTCTATAGCTCACATCGACGAAAACCATAGGAGTGAGCGAGAGGCAAATAGGCGGCTAACGCTTTTCGTCGGGTCTGTTTTTCAGCGCGGTATTCAGATGAGGTAAGGAAATACCACAAAAAATACCATATTTAGCGAGTGAATTTCGATGAACGCCGTTAGCCGCGGCCCAAAGAATAGGGCATTTAATGTTTAGCGGTGTTCGTACTGTGGATGGCAAATAATCTAAACAACTGGGGCACAGGCATGCGGACGAAAGTGCTGACCTACGGGATTTCGCAAACTCAGAATGTACACCACTCCAAATCAGGCCTTCTTTTGTACTTAAAACAAAATTTAAAAAAATGTTCTTAGATTTCTTCTTAGTGAGCAAATGTCGCAATTTCATTAGGTTCGGCAAAACGAGCATTTTATATACATAAGTGGTGGAAGAAGACATAACATGTGAATTATACTTGTAGAATTCTGTACCATTCGCTTTTTAGGTATCTATGCATTTTAATGAGATTTATATTAAGTGTAATCAGGTAAGTTCATACCCTGCAGTACCATTCATCGCTTATTGAGCACTCAATCACTGCAAAAAGTTCATCACTGAGCGCTTAATGAGCGCACAATTTGTATGAAAATGAGTGCTTAAATTATCATAGGCATGTCCTTGGGTTCATTTATTGTCATTTCCAAGCATAAGAGGTTATATGTTAAAAGACACGGAATCTATAATTTGTTTCATATTATTTTCCAACAAATTTTCCGATCGTTTCTATGGCAGCTACACTGGTGGAAAAAATAATAGAAACGATTTTCACTTCTTCACTTCTTATTAAATAGCTAAGTAAGTACGAAAGTTGCGGGCTTCAAACCAATAACATGTGGAGCACTGATAACTGTTCTTTATTTTCTGTTACTCCTTGAGCCCCATTCGCCTTTATTATGTGCTGTGTGCATAATTTTTGAGGGCGAACACAGGTTTGGCCTGGAAAAAAAAATGGAAACACTACTTATTTCAACCGAAATTTCGGCTTAGACTCTTTGTATTTCGAACTTTTTGGTTTAGTTTAAATACTTTAAGGTAAGTTTAACAAAAAGTTTCAAACATGGTGAAAATCCGTTCATAATTACGACTTCTAGGCTCAGAATAGGTCGAGGAGTGCATTGCACGGCTCCGGAAAGGCATTTAATAAAAAAACTGAGTGATGAAGGAAAATCAACGTCTAAAATAGCTGAATTAATGAATTGCTCAAAGAAAAAAGTGTTCTCCGCGGTTCATTACATGGATAAAAAGGAGAACCGAGGTAAAAAGCGAGCGACAACCAAATGGTTTGACGACATTTTGGTTCGAACAATAAAAAAGTACCCATTCCTTACAGCCAAGGAACTCAGAAATACCTTAGGGGCAGCAGTTACAGCTCGAACAATTAGAAACCGGCTGATTGAACGAGATCTGAGAGCATATTCAGCCAGGAAAGTTCCATCTCTGAGCCAAAAAAGTATGAAAAATAGACTGCTTTTTGCAAAACAACACCAGAACCGCCAAAACTGGAATAATGTTCTCTGGTCCGATGAAACTAAAATTAATATGTGTGAATCAGATGGAAAAATAAAATGGATGGAGACGCCCAAAGAACACTGCTTTCGATCCTAAGCATACGATTAAGACTGTTAAGCATGGTGTAGGGAACATAATGCTATGGGGATGCTTTTCATCTTCTGGAGTTGGTCCTATATTTTGGATTAAGGAAAGGATGTTTGCTGAGGACTACCGTAGCATACTTGAGAGCACAATGCATCCATATGCCGATGAGGAAATGCCGCTTAAATGGGAGTCATGCAAGATAATCACCCAAAGCATAAAGCAAAAATTTTACAAAAATGGTTCCGGGACCAAAAAATACCTGTAATGGACTGGCCAGCTCAATCGCCGGATCTAAATCCGATTGAGCATTTATGGGGACACCTAAAAAGACGAATTGGTAACTTCAAAGCCCCAAATAAGGAAGCATTGTGGCAGAAAGTTCAAAGCGAGTGGTACGCCATTTCTCCTTCAACTTGTGCCAATCTTGTACACTCTATGCCTCGCCGATGCCTTGCAGTATTGCAATGTAAAGGTAATACTACTAAATATTAGTTTAGGAGTCATTATGGCTTAAAAAAAATTATGTTTATGAAGTTTCAACGTTTTGTTTCTATTATTTTTTTCAGGGTAAAAACTCAAAATTAATTCTTTAATCTTTTTGTTCCTTATTATAAAACAAACTTAAATATATGTTAAAAAAAAAATATATGAGATATATCTACTTTGTTTTTTATGAAATAAAAAAAAAATACGAAAGTGAGTAAGCCGTTTCTATTGTTTTTTCCACCAGTGTATATTATATAGTCGTCCGATTTTGATAAAATTAAATTCCAAATTCAAAACTAATTAAAAAATTTTATTGTTAAAAAACAGCGAAGCTATAATTTGTTTTATATTATTTTCTCATTAATTTTCCGATCGTTCCTATGGCAGCTATTTTATAAAGTCGTCCGATTTTGATAAAATTTAATTCGAAATTCAAAACTAATTAAAAAATGTTATTTCCAAGCTTAGGAGGTTATATGTTAATAACCATTAATATAATTTTTTTAAATTTTTTTTCCGATTGTTCCTATGGGAGCTATAAGATATAATTGTCCGATCCGGCTGGTTCCGACTTATATACTACCTGCAAAAGATATAAGACTTTTTGGAAAGTTTCAGCCCGTTAGCTTTAAAACTGAGAGACTAGTTTGCGTAGAAACGGACGGACTGGCGGACATGGCTAGATCGACTCGTCTAGTCATGCTGATCAAGAATATATATATTTGGCGGTGGCGTTAACCCGTTCCAACGGGGCGGCCAAATAATTCTTTCCTCTTCACAGAAGAAAGTAACTTAATATATAAAAAAAAAGAATATATATACTTTATGGGGTCGGAAACGTCTCCTTCACTGCGTTGCAAAATTCTGACTGAAATCAATGTACCCTCTGCAAGGGTATAAAAATATAAATGTAAATAAAATTGCTGCTACGCGATAAAAAGGTGCATAACATGTGCTTTTTTGCTGCTTAAACGAGCGCTCAACGTGTGCTGGACGTGTGGTTTTCTGATGCTTAAACGAGCGCTCAACGTGTGCTGAACCTTTTTTTTTCTGCTCAAAAAAGCACTCAAAAGGGTGCTCAAAAAAGCGCTCAATACGTGCTAGTTTTTGAGCACTCAATCACTGCAAAAAGTTCATCACTGAGCGCTCAATGAGCGCACAATTTGTATGAAAATGAGTGCTTAAATTAACATAGGCATGTCCTAGAGTTCATCAGTGCTCAAAAACTATAACGTATTGAGCGCTTTTTTGAGCACCCTTTTTCCGCGCTTTTTTGAGCTACCCGTGTATCGTCGAGGTACTCGACTATAGCGTTCTTCCTTGTTTTATTTTTGTTTTAAGTACAAAAGAAGGCCTGATTTGGAGTGGTGTACATTCTGAGTTTGCAAAATCCCCTAGGTCAGCATTTTCGCGCCGCGGCTAACGGCGTTCATCGAAATTCACTCGCGTATTTCTTTACCTCTGGTATTCCCTTAGCTCATCAGACCCGACGAAAAGCGTTAGCCGCGTATTTGCCTCTCCCTGACTCCTATGGTTAGCTCGCGGTTTTCGTCGATGTGAGTACTAGGCTCAACAAACGAATCTGCTGGTGCTAAAAGAAATACAAATATATGGAATGTTAAAAGGATGTTTTTATGTACGTAAATTTGTAGTTTATGGGTTCCTTCTCTTGTCACGATGTTTTTATTTACGTAAATTTGTAGTTTAAGGTTCCTGCTCTTGTCACGGATGCTTCGCCATTTTCTCCGCGCCATTTGCAGTCCAGCTCCGATTCCTTATATGCCAGCATGGGCCTTGAGAAAGTGGGAGTCGGATTGAAAACGTTTCGCTGATGCTGCAGGAAGTCGCCCAGTATACTGGCAATGGCTGCGGGCGACCTCTTTTCCTTCACCCTACAGAAGCCAGAGCGTCCTGCAGCTTAAACCTCCAAGAAGCTGGTGAGGGTGGAGTCCTGTTGTTCCCCAATGGAGAGCTCGTCGGAGATCGTATTACTGGTGGTTCGCTAAAAATATACTTCTATTAGTAAAACGTTACCAAATTGTTTGGGCCAGAAATTACATTCTTTGCAACGATACGGCCGGTAGGGTGTCCATATAGGGAGCGAAGCCCCACTCGGCATGTTCCTCTAAATGGGATATTCTAGTGGATCTCGTCCAGCACTTCAACTATTCTGCGGATTTGCCCTGTTGTGGTATTGCTTCCTATCGGTGAAGTCCCACAGTAATGGGCACCAGCTTAGATTAGGCGTCCTTCTTCATCTGCACTGACATCCTGCAGTCGTTTTTTCGATTTTCCTTTCATTTTTGTTTTATTGTTTCTATAACGCGTTTGCACGAACACCGCCAAAGATTAAATTTCTTATTCTTTGGGACGCGGCTAACGGTGTTTATCGAAATTCACTTGCTAAATATGGTATTTTTTCTGGTATTTCCTAAGCTCATCTGAGAACCGCGCTGAAAAACAGACCCGACGAAAGGCGTTAACTGCGGTTTTCGTCGATGTGAGTACTAGGCTTTTAAGAAAACAAACCCAGCTGCTTGACAGTAAGGCCATGCTACATGCATTGCGGATGAACTTTGAATACTGCGGACACACTACAAAGAATAAGATTTTTCGACTAGTGAAACTCCTAGCCGATCTGAGTACTAGGCTTAAGCTACTATTTGTTTAAAGTAAAAGCTTATGCTGAAACTGTCGCATCTCGCTGTGAAATGAAATTATGCTGACCGATGAGGTTTGATTGAAAATTGGAACGCAATATGATCTGAACTTAGAACGCAATGCTATAGGCTTCGAACGTATGAGTTTGGGCTTTGAACGGAAGCTCGTGTTTACTTTACGATTGGTTTATTTGTCTTAGCAGGACGATTAAGCGCGGCCTTCGAAGTTAATGGAAAAGGCAAATGCAGAATCTTAAACAAAGGCAAAGGCAATGTCGCTGAAGGCAAGGGCAATATAGCTGAGATTGAAATTAAAATTTTTTTTATTAAGTCCATAAGTGAAACCTTTTCATGGGTTGGATTAATTAACATAGGTTAGAGAAAATGGTTACTTTTATTTGATTTTCAGTTGACTTTCTCAGTGTAAAATTTCCAAAACGGCGCCATTGCAGTTCAAATTCATTTCCTTCTCAAATATATCCCTAAAATCGTATACAATACTGAATAAAAGCACTGGAATACTGAATCGACTTGTGTGTGCGGTTTCATTTTCATAAGTATATTTCTTATGCGGCAACCACTTCCACCGCACTGCCCGCCTCCGTCTTGCACTTCTACTACAAGCTTGGCCTCTTCCTGTCTAACTTCTCTGCGTACACCTCCAGTATAGCCTCATAACGATTCTGCTTTCGTGGTGAGTGCCGAATGTGTGCGCAGTTTAGAAAGATGTTTTAAAAATTACTCTTATTTGCGAGATCTATGTAGTGTCCGAAAAAAATGTATACAGGCCTGTTCCAGTTTTCACTCGGAAGTGAAGTCGTTAAGATTGTCGGATTTCCCTTTCACATAATAAAATGTCCCATGTGTGTTACGGATTTTTCGCAGGCAAATTCCCTTGTGGTGTGAGAAAGAACTGCTGATTGCACCGATGGACTTTCAACCTTTCGATACTCCAATCGCATTTCGCATTCCATTGGAACTACTTTCCCAGTTTAAATTCAGTTGATTCCGTTATGTACAGTTTAGCCAGTGGTTTGCACCATGGAATGTGATTTGTTACACAGTGCAAGACCAAAAATGGTACCGAAATTTGGACTTAACGTACGGAAAGTAATCATCAAAGTTAACTAAAACACATGTGTGTTTCTCTGGCTTAGCTCGTGTTTGATCAAGAAATCACTTTTTATTCGCGAATCACCAGTGACAGGTCATTAGTCACGCGTGAAGCAAGCGTAAAACTTCTCTTCAATTCTGGAGTCGGCTTTATATCATTGGTGTTTTTTTAACATATAACCTCCTACGCTTCGAAATAACATTTTTTAATTAGTTCGGAATTTCGAACTTAATTTTATCAAAATCGGACGACTATATCAAATAGCTGCCATAGGAACGATCGGAAAATTGGTGGGAAAATAATATGAAACAAATCATAGCTTCGGTGTTTTTTGACATAATATCTTATAATATTGGGAATAAGATTTATTGTATTTTTAAGGATATCGAATGAAATTCAATAATTATAACTGCAAGGGTATACAAACTTTGGCTTGCCCAAGTTAACTTCCTTTCTTGTTTTTTATATGTTTACTAGCCAGGTTGCCCGTAGCTTCGCCTGCGGAAATCATGATTGAAAATGTCCCGAATAGATCGGCTATATCCTAAACCTGGTCTTGGGTTTATCTATGCCACTTAAATTGGACTTAAATCAGTTCTCATTTCCACACCACCATACTGATATGGTTTTGGACCGTTTTGTTTGTGGTATTACTAAGTGGCATATTACACAGTAAATATATTTTCTTAAACTATATATTTTTAAAGGCTTTTAATTGATTTTTTTAGAATTCTTTGTTTCATCAAATGCCTTTTAAATTTGTTCCCTTAAGGGCAAGGTGTTGGCTAACATTTCTCGAACGAAAAAGTCCCTGCTAAGTGATTTTGGCTTTCTCGAGCCTCAATGTGAGAGCTAACGTTGACAGGGATTCAGACTCCCTGTTAAGTCTTTTTCGAACATAAACAAAACCTACAAAGTTGATGCAATAATAAAAGCAATCCCTGTGTTTTCGCTTAACAGCTTAATTTTGTGATTAACAGCACTCTGTAATTGTTTCTCGTTCAGATAAGTTAAAGGCGTCGAGAAAACCGATTTGCTTTGTCGAACACTTTATTTGGCCTTTAAGTTTTTCGGACAGATAGCTATCAGGGACTTTGACAGGGACTTTAGAAACCAGCCGATTCTGCTTTCGTGGTGAGTGCCGAATGTGTGCGGAGTTTAGAAAGATGTTTTAAAAATTAACTCATTTGCGAGATCTATGTAGAGTCCAAAAAAAATGTATACAGGCCTGTTCCAGTTTTCACTCGTTAAGATTGTCGGATTTCCCTTTAACATAATAGAATGTCCCATGTGTGTTATGGACCTTTCGCAGGGAAATTGTGTCCCTTGTGGTGTGAGAAAGAACTGCTGATTGCACCGATGGACTTTCACCCTTTCGATACTCCAATCGCATTTCGCATTCCATTGCAACTACTTTCCCAATTTGAATTCAGTTGATTCCGTTATGTACAGTATAAACCAGTGGTTTGCAGCAGAGAGGTGCGACCCTATCCCATGGAATGTGATTTGATACACAGTGCAAGACCAAAAATGTAACCGAAATTTGGACTTCACGTACGGAAAATAATCATCGAAGTTAACTAAAACACAGCACACACAGGATCGGCTCCGGCCCTGCAAGCAAGACAGCGATATTTCTTCGCCTGTCCTCCAGAAGTCACTTCTTAGTAACTTCTTCGCGATAGAAAGACGATAGTACACATTTTACAAAAACAAAATATACATGTATCGATTAGAAGTAACTTCTAAGTCAATTCCGGAAGATAGAAAGGCGATAGTATGCATTTTACAAAAACAAAAAGGGTCGGGATCGCGATAGTACACATTTTACAAAACAAAAAGGGTTGGGGTCGCGAAGAAGTAACTTCCGAGACACTTCTGCGCGACACAAAGCCGATAGTACACATTTTACAAAAACAAAATTAGTGCGAAAAAACGCTATAAAAAGAGGTCGCGGTAATTTTCTGTTATCCCTTTTTTTGAGTCTTCCTTTTGACTCACGCTGTTATTTTTCGCCCGAGCGTCATTTCGTTGCGCGATTTGTCTGTGGACAGTGCGGTTATGTATCAAATTAGTGCGTTTTAAAAATATAGCTTTTGTCTCGGCGACACTTCCAGAAGTGTCGCAGAAGTGACTTCGAGAAGTGTCGCCGAAGTGGCACATTTCTTACCGACGGGAGTCACTTCCGCGATCCGAATGCGATATCGCGGACGATCGTTTTCATCTTCTAGAAGTCACTTAATAGTGCCTCCCGCGATAGAAAACGCTTGCAGGGGGGTGACATGTCAGAAGGCAAAAACACTGCCGCTATCGCCGTCAGCAGAGAAGTCGGCGCAACGTAGAAACTGTCGACGAAAACGGTGGGGCAAGAAAGAGAGGCAGATATCCGTAGATTTGACATTCTGTGTCTTATAATGCACTCGGCGTTCGCACAGACAATTTTTGGCCGGTCCGATATTTTTTTTTGGGTCTATCAGGTTATGTTCAGCTAGCGACCAAAATTTAAATGGAAAATTTTGTGTTATAGAAATTTAGTCCATTAATATTTATGTAAATATTAAAAATAATATTATATTGACATCTTTAAAAAATCCGAATTGAGTTTTTAATTATGGATTATAAATTATATAGGCGGATAAGTTTCACCTAAGAAAGGGTTTAGGTGCAGTGGCACTCACCATCAGCAAAGATAAACAATACCCTGTAGTTCCACAATTGAGTTAAGTGCCCAATCATCACGAAGCCGACTGCGACGTCGGCAGAGAAGCCAGCGACGCCGGCAGAGCTGAGCGCAACGGCGGCAAAGCGACGCACTCTAAGTCAGGTCCGCAAAGAGAACGCACAAAAAGTAATTTTGGGCTCTCCCTCTCTCGCCATGTCTCAGACGGAAAAGTGCGTGTGAAGGGAAGGAGGCCCAGCAACTAAAATATATAGACTTTTGTGAACCCTTGCCTTTTGAATAATGCGACATTTGTTCGTAAATGATAAAACAACCATTTAAAATAATAGGTTTCTGTTTTAAAATATTTGTATTTCTTAAAAAAATGTATAGGTTTATTAATATTATTTAATAATATGTGAAGTTTTAAGAATATAATTTTATAAACCGATTTGCATAGTCGGATATGTCTATAAATACCCTGCTTTTATGTGCAAGATGCATAGACCAAACTGGACATGCCAAAAAAACAGAACAACAACGGATTAGCGGAACCGTTGTTGTTGTTGCTTGTTGTTTTTCTGGAAGGCACGCGTCTTTTTTCGTCTTTTTCACTTGCGTTTACTTATGTGAAGGAGTTAGAATTGCACGCAATTACGTAGTTAAATAAAATAAACCAGTGGTTTAAAAGTGATACCTATACGATTCCCAGGTAAGTCTGTCGCAGACCATTATTTATTTAATCAGTGAGAGTAAAAACAAGTTAATGTATATTAAAAAAATGGAAAATACAAGATTCCCAAAAAAACACGTAGCGGAAAAAAAATAGCTGTGAAAAATTTTAATTTTTGACGTGAAAAACAACAAATGATTCATATAAATAAACAAATGAATGAATCTGTGAAAAAATTTGAAAATCTTATTGAGTGCTAAGTTCCTTGGGACCAAAAATAAGAGATGTTTGTTTTTATAACTTATGATTTTTTGTATTAATAACATTAAAGCACAATTTTTATTTTTGTGTAAGTAAACAAACATGGCTATTTAAATAAAAATCTCAAACATCTCTAATTTTCCGTTCCTGTAAAAGTGGTATTTTTTCCGCATCTGTAAAATAAATAAATGATTTAATAAATAATAAAAAAATACACAAATAATTTTTTACAACAAAATAAAATAAATCAAGTGACCGAAAACAAAAGTTTGCAAATTTCTTCTCGATATTTTTTTCATTTTCTTATATTTTTAGACAAGGCTGAAGGTAAATCTTTAAAAAAATGGAAGGCTAAATCGTTCCATCTTAAGCATATTATCCGAGGAACTTGTTCTGTCCCACAACTTACTTATTAAGTAAGTTTTTATTGAGGCTGAAAGTAACTATTGTTTGTAAGTTTAATTTTTAAAAGACTTCTGGGATTTTTACATTGAATGCCAAAGATAACATTTCTTTTATTATAAATAAATCTTACAAATAACGATTACTTTCGGTCACTCGTTTTTATTCTCGTCTTGTTTTATTTTTAAAACTAATTTTTTTCTAATACTAGATGCAATCGCCCTGGTGGATCCCTCGGAGCCTCCCGAAAAGGCGCTACAGAAGGCAATGCGGTGCGTTAAAAACTTGAGTTGTACCAAAAAAAGGCAACGCCGGCACCAGATGCTGAGGAGGAGGTGCCAGCGACCCCGAGCTATAAGATATAGTTGTCCGATCCGGCTGGTTCCGACATATATACTACCTGCAAAAGATATAAGACTTTTGGAAGAGATTCAGCCCGACAGCTTTAAAACTGAGAGACTAGTTTGCGTAGAAACGGACGGACAGACGGACATGGCTAGATCGATTCGTCTAGTCATGCTGATCAAGAATATATGTATATATATATACTTTATGGGGTCGGCAACGTCTCCTTCACTGCGTTGCAAACTTCTGACTGAAATCAATATACCCTCTGCAAGGGTGTAAAAAATATATCTTTGGTGTTTTTTAACATATGTATAACCTCATACGGTTGCAAATAACAGTTTTTAATTAGTTCTGTATTTCGAACCTAATTTTATCAAAATCGGACGACTATATAATATAGCTGCCATAGGAACGATCGGAAAATTGGTGGGAAAATAATATGAAACAAATCAAAGCTTCGGTGTTTTTTGACATATTATCTTATACTATTGGGAACATCATTTTTTTAATTTTTAAATTTAATAATTATAACTGCAAGGGTATACAAACTTTGGCTTGCCCAAGCTAACTTCTTTTCTTGTTTTTTATATGTTTACTAGCCAGGTTGCCCGTAGCTTCGCCTGCGAAAATCATGATTGAAAATGTCCCGAAAAGATCGGCTATATCCTAAACCTTGTCTTGGGTTTATCTATGCCACTTAAATTGAACTTAAATCAGTTCTCATTTCCACACCACCATACTGATATGGTTTTGAACCGTTTTGTTTGTGGTATTACTAAGTGGCATATTACTCAGTAAATATATTTTCTTAAACTCTATCCTTCTATTTTTAAAGGCTTTTAATTGATTTTATTAGAATTCTTTGTTTCATCAAATGCCTTTTAAATAATCAATAATCAAAGTAAGCCCTGTGTTTTCGCTTAACAGCTTGATATTTTCCGAGATATCCATGTTCATACTTACGATTTTTTTAAGTTTGTGGGCGGCTTGTGGGCGTGGCAAACTTTATTTGGGTCAATCGATAGGTATTGATGAGAACAATTCATTTCAGTTAAACTCTAGCATTAAAACTGTAGGAGCCACAGTTTTGGGCGGTTTGTGGGTGTTAGAGTGGGCGTGGCACATTGCTGGAACAAACTTGCGCTGGCTTCCTACGCAGCGGAATCTGCATGATCTCAATAGCTTAGCTCTTACAGTTTCTGAGATCTCAGCGTTCATCCGGACAGACAGACAGACAGACAGACGGACATAGTTACATCGACTCGGCTAGTGATCCTGATCAAGAATATATATACTTTATGGGGTCGAAAACGCTTCCTTCTGCCTATTACATACTTTCCGACGAATCTAGTATACCCTTTTGCTCTAAGAGTAACGGGTATAAAAATTACCCTCCGCATACAGACGCTTAAAATCGCGCACATAGAGAATCGCTGAAGCAAACAGATGATCGGGATAAGCAACCCGTATCCGAAGGGGGAGGAAAAACGCAAAACTAAATACAATTTAAGCGCTAATATGTGAAATTTTTTCAGCGCTTAATGATTATTCAATTGCTATTAGCAAATTGATCAAGGATGAGTGTAGTGAAATGAATAGAGACTATTATGGGCCAATAGTGACGTCACGAGAATTTTCACAAGTTAGAACCGTTTGGTCCCTTTTAAGTATTTATAACATCTTCCTTGCATGCTGTTTTTTGACATATCCATTTTAAAATGGCTTTTTCTTTAGATAAATAGTGTTCGTTTTTGTGCAACATATACATAAGCTGTAGGTTGGTCATTTCCTTAAGAAAATGAATTTCCATATAACGGCGCCATTGCAGTCCAAATGCATATTAAAAAATCCCAAAACGATTAGTAAAAATTCACCTAAACTCGAAAAAATAAACTGAATAAAACACTGGGATACTAAATCGATTTACGTGTGCAGTCCCATTTTCCGCTGCAACGAGTTTTAGTGCATTTTTTCCTTTTCTTCTACAAGTGTAGATAATTTACAAATCAAATGTTTCCAAAGTCATTGCACAAAATAAGCTGTGACATAAAAAAAGTCAACATTTTCAGTTTTATTTACGTTTATGTGTTGTTTAATGAAGTTTAAAAATAATGAAGTGCCTTAATAAATGTAAAAATACTACCTATCATAACTGCATTTAAATTTTTTTCATATTCCGTTTAGTTTGCCAGCTATACTAGTTTGAGTTTTAAGTTTACCTCTGCACGAAATAAGCTGTTAGCCCATGCATGTACATTTCACATATGTAAAGCGAGACCTGGTTATCAGCCACGTCCACATTGGAGAGCAGATAACACACATGACTGTGTGCAATTAGGACAGTGGCGTAGTGCCCTGGAGTCAGATACAATCAAATCAGAGCGGCAGGGGGTTTCCGATGAATAAGCCTCTTTATCTTGCCTTTCAGTGTCGCGAGAACTGTCGAGTGGAGCACAAGAGCGTCACAAGCTACAGCGGTACAGCGAGAAAGAAAGATTAAGGTAGAAAGACCAAGCACACAAGAACCGGAGGTACAATGGGTTGGTGGAACAAAAAAAGCGAAACGGATCGTAGCCCGCCCAGCCAGGCACTGGTGCTGCAGGACCCCCGTACCCGCGTGAAGACCGCGAGTGCTAGCACCAAGACGACCAACAGGGCAGTGCAGAACTCTACCATCACGGACAGCAACAAGCAGACGATCACCTTCCTCTCCACCCGCCAGACGGTGACGCACACGCAGCGGGCGCTTGTCACGGAGACAACTACGCGGCGCACGCCCAGCCAGGCGGAGTTGGAAGCGCTCTTTGCCCAAATGAGAGTAGGAGGCGAGGGATCCCGACCGCCCAGTCTGAACGGAGTCTCCCTCCGCTCCACTCAGGCATTCAAGGCCACGTCTGGCAAGCGTTCCAGCACGCTGGTCAAGACCGAGCAAACGACTGTCACTAAGAAGACCGGACACACGATTACCAAGCACCTGGAGACGCACCATGTAGACCTTAAGGGAAAGGTCAGTAAGACCAACTGGTCGCCGTTCACTCCCACGGCTAACAGTTCGACCTCCACCTACGTCTCACCCTACGCCCAGATACCGAACCTGGCCATAACCTACACATCTCCGCACGCCAAGACACCAGGAATCACTAGCACCTTCGCGAACTCCGTTACGAGGGTGTCCAGCACCCCCAAGCCAACGTCATCCAGTTCCTCTTTTATAAGCTTTTTAAACTCCGATCAAAAACCTGATAAGCCGCTGACGTTCACTGCAACGCCAAAACCCTACATCAGCATGGGCTCATCAGCGACCAGCGCCGTGCCCAAGGTCTCTGAACCTGCGTACAACCTCGACACTCAGGGCACCAATCCAATCATCTTGACTCCCTCAAAGTGTAGCCTAACCAAGAGCAAACTAAAACCCGCTAGGGTGTATATCTTTAATCACGAGCGGTTCGATAACAAGAACGTCTTCCGTACGGGAAGTGGCCAGGATGTAAAGGTCTTGCGATCCACCTTCGAGCAGTTCAAATGCAAGGTGGAGATCATTACGGACGCCACTCTGGCCACCATCAAGCGGACTGTGCGAATGCGTAAGTAGAACCAAAATCGACAATCATTCTGTGTTGTAACGCAAATTTTTTTAGTGGAAACCAAGGATTTCGAGGACAAGAGTGCTCTGGTCTTGGTGATGCTAAGCCATGGAACGCGCCACGATAGAATTGCGGCAAAAGATAATGACTATTCTTTGGATTACGACGTCCTCTTCCCCATCCTGCGCAACCGGACGCTAAGGGACAAGCCTAAGCTACTTTTTGTTCAAGCCTGTAAGGGCGCCAACGAGCTGGGTGGTTTTATGACGGATGCTGCTCAGCCCAATGGGTCTCCAAACGAGATTCTGAAGTGTTATAGTACCTACGAGGGATATGTTTCCTATCGCACGGAGGACGGCACTCCATTTATTCAAAGTTTGTGTGAGGCCCTCAATCGGACGGGCAAGACCTCAGATATCGACACCATAATGACCAATGTGAGGCGCGTTGTTAAAATGCAAACCAGGTGAGTGGATAATTTCCTATGCAAGACAAAATATAGATGTATATTTTTTTAGAGACAGCCAAATCCCATCTGTTACCAGTACGCTCACCTCTAAGTACGTTTTTGGAGATTACATCTGATCATACTAGTACGGTCACCTCTGTTTACGTTTTTGGAAATGAAATCTGATCATTAATTACACCCAGACAAAAAATTACCTAAAATGCCCAGAAATGGGCTACAATTTAGGTAAAGTTGGCCTTAACCTGGAGCTAAGTCCTTGAATGACCTGTGGGTCACACATGGCCTAAAATGTATGCAACTTTTAGATAATTGACTGCCTAAAAATAATATTTATGGTACAAAAATAATTTGTTTGAGCTTACAAAAGCATTTTGCCACAGAATAAAACCATTCGGACTTGGCTCAGGGGGTGCGTCCCGACACTTTATTGTTCTCGGGGTTCGAAGTTCGAGTCCTGCCCAAAGACCATTTTATTTTATTTTTCTTTTCTAATAAGTAAATCAGATAGATTTTTCAATACAATATTTTATTTAACAATTGCTTAGGAAATATTTAACATGTTTCCTCAAGACTTTTGACTTACTCCTGCCCTAGCGGGTATGCGATCCGGGGTCCTCTCACATCAGGGGCAGACGCCTTACCAATTTAGCAATCGCACCATGTTACGAATGAGCGTGTAAGTTCAAGTCATAAGTAACGCATCGGACTCTCGTGTGGAAGACCCCGAACCGATTACCACCGCGGACTAAATAAAAATGATTGTTTTTTTAGGGAGATTAAATAAAAAAAAAAAAATGAAATAAATAAATTGTATTAATATCATGAGTAAAAATTTAACATTTTTTTAAGCAATACCCAATTTTTAGGGCATATTGGCCTAAAATGTTCAATTTTGTAATAACACGTCTCAGTTAATTTTTCTTAAAATTGTACCTTAAATAATTTTAATAAATACAATTACAGACATATTAAGTTTAAAAGGTTTTTAGCTGTCATATATTTTAAGGTAAAATGCAATAGTTTTAAGGCCCACGATAACCTAAAATATTAGGCTGCACGTGACCTAAAAATTAGTACAAAAATTGAAATTTTTAGACAGTGCACTATGGTCCAGATGTCGTTTTTTTTGGCATAAAGTCAATTTTTCGATGTTAATATATCGTTGTTTTCTTATTTTAATCTTAAAGTAAATGTATCATAGATTAAAAAAAATTTAATGAAAAGCTTTAAAAGCGCCACCAAAGCTTTTTGAGAGCTTTTAAAAGTGAGCTAGCGATCAGCTGATTTCCGAACAGAAATTTGCGCCAAAATATTTATAGTCTTTATGTTGTGCCACACGCGTTAAATTGGTCCAGAAAATTCAACTAAATTATGGAAAGCAATCTTCAAGGTGTGCACTATTTAATGTATATTGTTATTTAATGTATAGTTCTAGGTATTTCGTGTTGTGAAATGTCCAATTAATGTGTATTTTTTTAGAAAACTAACATGCGTGATTCGTGTTTCGTGGAATATAACTAATAAGCTGTTCCATGCTGAAAGCAACTTTTTGGTCCAGATTGTACTTAAGAGTGTTGTCTTCAGCCACAAACCAAAAACTCATCCCCGTTCGTCCCCCTTTTCTCACATTTTGGTAATATATAGGCAGCAACAATCGAAAAATGCACCAAAATTAATAAAAACGCTGTGGAATCCAAGACAATAAAGGAAATTGACAAAAAAATCAGTAATTTTAATAGTTACATTCATAAGTATCTTCCCAAATGTAACTACATGCTTGAACGGTTTATGTCTAAGCATACTGTATGGTTGGCGTCTAAAATATCAATTACAATCGATGAAACCTGCAAGACACCACAGCAAATGGGACCTCCAACCTTATCTTACACGAATGCGGGTACAAGATTAAAAAGGAAATTGGAATCTGAGCTTGCAAATGAAAATAATTGTGACACAAATCTTCTTGCACATGCTGCAGCAGTCTCTGCAAATAAACAAAACAAGAAGGACACGGCTTTTGTTCTTAAAAAAACCATAACAACACCCGAATACTCAACTGAATCGAGAAAGCAATTTGATATACAAAAACCCATTCCACTTACACCCGAAGAAGCTTTGGCTTACCTCCTAAAAAATTCTCTTACAAAACCGCAATACATTAACACTAGACTTATGAATAAAAGTCGCCACAGTAACATTTATGCAACCTATAGTCTAGTAATGGAATCGAAATTATAATGCCGTCCTGTAGTTATCAAAGTAACCGAAACGGCTGCCCAAGTATCATTACAAAACCTTTTAGATCATATGTACTGCTCACAGAATTATTAAAATGCAAGCCGATGTTTTAAACCAGTTTCCAAACCGTTCTGAAATTAAACTAATATGCAGCTATGGAGTTGATGGTTCAACGGTTCATTCAATATACAAGCAGAAGTTCGCTACCGAAACACCTGGCGAACAGCTTTCAGTCACCCCATTTTTGTTACATCTGTTATACCCATAAAAATTATAGACTCTTTTGATCACAACATATGGAATAATAAAACACCGCAATCTATACGATTTTGCAGACCTCTAAAAATTGAACTAGTAAAAGAAACTACGGCTCACATAATGATGGAAAAGAACCTTTTAGATTCTCAAATAAATAACCTCAAACCTTCTGTTTATAAATTGAATGAAAATCGTGATATAACAGTAAAGTATGAAATGCATATGACACTTATTGATGGCAAAGTGCTAAACGTTTTAACTGCAACTAAATCTACTCAATGTTGTCTGTGGTGTCACTCGAATAAAAATATTAGAAACAAGGAAGAACGCTAAAGTCGTGTACCTCGACTAACAGATACCCATTACTCAGCTAAAGGGACCTAAGGGAAATTGAGGTATGCAAGCAGCAAAGCGAGATTGAAATGCGTCACCTACCGGCGGTAGACAGATGTAAGCGTTATGGGCGTTAGAGTGGGCGTGGCAAACTTTTTTTTACCAATACATTTCAGTTAAAATTTTTTATCTAGCATGAAAAGTGTGGGCGTCACAGGTTTGGGCGGTTTGTGGGCGTTAAAAGGGGCGTGGCAAACTTTTTTGGGTCAATCGATAGGTATTGATGAGAACAATACACTTCAGTTAAAATTTTTATTCTAGCATTTAAACTGTAGGAACCACAGTTTTGGGCGGTTTGTGGGCGTGGCACTTTGCTGAAACAAACTTGCGCTGCGTAAGAAGCTCAGGAATCTGCACGCCAAATCTTAACAGCCTAGCTCAGATAGTTTCCGAGATATCAGCTTTCATCCGGACGGACAGACAAACGGACAGACGGACATGGCTAGATCGACTCGGCTAGTGATCCTGGTCAAGAACATATATGCTTTATGGGGTCGGAAACGCTTCCGTCTGCCTGTCACATACTTTCCGACGAATCTAGTATACCCTTTTACTCTACGAGTAACGGGTATAATAACATATTTTAATTCTGAACTTTTTGTCCCAAAGCCTGGAGCTTTGCAGTTTGGAGTAAGTCCATTGCCTGCCTGGATTCGGTTTTTAGAATTTGTCTTGAACATTTCATATAAAATTGAATTAAAAAAATGGCATATAAAAGGTGAGGATAAGATTAAATTGGGCAAACGGAAAAATATGTTCAAGAAAAGTTTTGGAACGAAATGGGTCTTCGGATAAGCATGCCAAAGCAGAATGGAAGCGGCAATAGCAATGATGGTAACACGGCTAGGAGACCTTTTGCCAATACTAAACTACTAGCATCTATAACAAACTTCAGCGAAGATCTTTTAAATACATTTCACGCCATTTTAATCGCCATTTCTTCCAATTATTATATAAATTCGGAAAAATTTCGCTCATTTTGTGAAACAACTTTTTCATTATATAAGCGTAGCTACCCATGGTATCCGATGTCACCAAGAATTCATAAAATATTGGTTCACGGTTGCCAGATTAATAATTCGAGCCCGATTCCACTAGGATGCTTAGGCGAAAATGCTTCTGAAGCACGCAACAAAGTTTACAAGAAAGATAGATTGTCGCATTCAAGGAAAAATAGTCGGCTCAATACCATGACTGATATACTTCACAGAGCTATAGGTTCCTCGGATCCATTATTGTCGAGTGTTTCTCTAAAGGAAAGAGAAAGAAAAAATAAAAAAAAGCCCTTCTCAAAAGAGGTATTAAGTCTTTTGGACCTTCCATCTACAGCTGAAAATGAAAACGATCTGCAGTGCGATTCTGATGACGATGAGGATATTTATAATATTGAATTGGATGAAGAAGAAAAGTGCATTTAAAAAATAAGTAAGTAATTAAACAGAGCAGGAAATAATATATATTTATTCTAAATCTACTATCAATCAGTTTGCAGGGGCGGCAAGCGTGGACGTGGTCGAACTGACCCAATTTTTTTTTCACAAATTATTAATGTCATAACAATAAAATGTGTGAAGTTTGAACCATGTAACTCAATTTTTCGACTTTATGCCAAAAAAAACGGCATCTGGACCATAATGCAGTGCATGAAGAATGAACTTTTAGTCCATTTTTAAATATTTAGGTCAGGCAAGACCTACAATTTTGTCCATCATTATTTTTGGTGTACAGAAAAATTGTTTGTTTGTTGAATAAACCAACATTAAAGGTAAACTCCTTGGTATTATTAAGATCTGTATACATGAAATTCTGTTACCACCAAAAATGGGTAGCAAAAAAAAACGCTCCGATGACGAAAGGATAACAAAAACTTTACGGAAGCCAGAGCACGTAAAAACGAAAACGAAGTTTTTCAGAAAAGGCAAAATTAAAGTGAAAACTTGTACTACCTTATCTCAAGATATATAAAGGAAAAACAGAAAAATTCAAGGTATCGGCGCACATCCCAAATCCCCGTAAGAACTATAGGAGCCCAAATTCGTACCCAGTCGGACCGTCAGGCATGTGGTGCTTGATTCCACAATAATTTCCATTAGGAAAAAATTCAGGGGTTGGCACCACGTGAAAAAAAACTTAGTTAACGTTGCTAGTGAAACAAAATACAATTTTAACTATACTTAAATATGTCAAAATATAAAAACATTAGCAAATTGTAACTCTTAAATTGTTCAAATAATAATGATTAAAATTAATAATAGTGTGTAACGTACAATGACCTTTAAAAGCATATAAATAAATATATTTTAATGCAAAAAGTAAGTAAAAAAATATTTGTACAAATTTCGGTATCTAAAATATACATATATCGAAATCGAAATTAAAAAAAAAGTGATTTATTGCGAACTATGTTAAAATAATGGTAAGTATATTGAAAAATTGGTAGAGATTTAGCTGTAGGTTTAAGAAAGGTAATTTAAAGCGAGATTAAAATGCGCCACCTACCGGCGGTAGACAGATTTAAGCGTTATGGGCGTTAGAGTGGGCGTGGCAAATTTTTTTTTGGATCAATCGATAGGTATTGACGAGACCAATACATTTCAGCTAAAATCTAGTTAGTCTAGTCTAATTATCTAGCATGAAAATAGTGGGCGCCACAGGCTTGGGCGTTTTGTGGGCGTTAGAGTGGGCGTGGCACTTGCGCTGCGCAGGAATCTCAGGAATCTGCATGCCTAATCCCAGTATTTTAACTTGTATAGTTTCCGAGATCTCAGCGTTCATACGGACAGACGGACGGACGGACGGACGGACGGACGGACGGACGGACAGACGGACAGACGAACATGGCTAGATCGACTCGGCTAGTGATCCTGATGAAGAATATATATACTCTATGGGGTCGGAAACGCTTCCTTCTGCCTGTTACATACTCTCCGACGAATCTAGTATACCCTTTTACTCTACGAGTAACGGGTATAAAAATCAAAAAGGAAACACTAAATTGCAACTCAGGGATGCAACAATGCTACCGAAAGCACATTCCATTCGTCTCCACCACTTGAATTTGGCGTTGAAGTATACGGTGGACG